ATATCCAGGTAAAAATTGTCAGTTAACGATAATATTAATCTTGATGTGCAGAAACACGCATGTTTTTATTGATTTTCATTCTGATACTATCCAGTGTGACTGTAGAGCTTTAAACATCAGCTCTCTCAGTGTATAACATCACTTATCTATCAACATATCACTTCATAAAACAGAATTTGAACATGTATAGATCATATCAAAATGAAATCAATGAATCCAGCTACTGCTAGAATAACATCAATAACGTCTTTTGTCTTTCTACTAGGTAACTTATCTCTGCGACACATTGATCTCAAGATTTAGCACTGTTAAAGTGAAGAACACAAATTCAGAGATTATATCACTTTTCTTTAGATTTTCCATCACCTTCGCGATTAGCATTTCTACAGTTTTCTCTCTAGCCATTCTAAAAATATTTTGTAAAGCGTATCATTTGAGATGTTATTAGAGAGATGTGATGACTTCCTAAGTTCGACTGCCTCAAATTTTACAGATTCTTAGATATGAATGCTTCTGTAACCTTCTTTACCCCGAAAGAGAGGTATGTAATGTGCGGTCTTCTGCTTTATTTGAATAGAAAGCCACGTCCCGTTTAGTTATATGTTTCACACTTTTCAGGCCTCCTTCTACCGTCAACCTTTTCGGATATTTGTCTTTGTTTATTAGTCCACCTCGCCGGCGAATTATAGTAGTATGTGGTAACAGAAGTTTTTATGTCACAGAAAAATATACAAACGTTGCATCGAAACTCGAATTAGCAGAATGTATTCATACATGGCTTCTCTTTTTATCATAAAATGCTTTCTATACTGCTTCATAATGATCATCACTTTCCCTATTTGCGATCTAATCCGTCTCGATGATATTCAAGATTTTTGCAGAAGACGTCACAACATAAAACCAGTTTACGAGCACTGTTCTCTTTGAAGTAGCACAGTGTGTGCGTGTGAGTGTGTGTAACTTCAGTGTCAAAGTTGTACTAAAACAGTTCTTTGTAACACAAAATTTCACTTTCAAGTGAAAAATATCCCTCTAAATCAGTCTCTCAGGGGATAAGACTGAGAAAAAATTTTGATTAAATTTTATTAGTTTCAAAATCTTGCTTTCTGGGTGGTTTTCCTTGTATAACCAATGGCTGTATCTCTCTCTCGCCCACCGTCATTTCCACACTGTTTATCTCATTATATCTAGCCAGTATTTCATAGCAGCATTTCCAAGTCCACCATCATAACGGCCCATTATAATTCCTTGCTGTTCAGCATATCACTTAGTCAAAGAACAAACTTTATTCAGCTGTCGAGCACCTTTTTCTTACGCATTATTCTGCATCACCACATCAGTCTTTCAAAGTGATACATAAGATAAGGTAAAGTCGTTCAAAGGGTTTTCAGAAAATTCTTCCATCTACAGCAGAAGCTATTGCCATACACAAGGGAAACCTTGAGCTGTGAATAGGAGGACAGAATTCACTTAAGAATAGAAAATTTTAACACTTTCTATAATGTGCTTTCTCAGTGTAGTGTTTGAGAGATATAGCACTAATTATATAAGGATAAAACTTGGATACGGTAGTAGAGTATAATTCCATTATGGATAAAATTTTGTTTTGATAAAGTCACAGTGTTATACAGTAATATTATTTACTGATGACCAACTTTCGAGCACAATTTATTACTGCTCATAATTATATCAAGGCAATACTCACATAACTTCCTTGCTTCGTTTACTATGTACATGAGTAAAAATTGATTAGACATATGAATAAAATCAATATTAGACTTGCGTGAAACAGAAAGGAAGAGAGAGGTACATTCGGAACCACTATTCGTGTTATCAATCAGTATAATGTGTTGAGTAATATAGTTAGGTGGAGAGAAAGACTGATTACTGAATCCTCGTTCATCGAGTCTACACACATCCGACACATGCAACAGAAATGACTCAACGCAAATACCAGATATATGAGAGATATTATTACCAGTCAAATCAGAGGATAATAAGTAATGTTAAAATGTATTTCAGTTCACCTTATAACATTCAAAGAAGTTATTTATTTTAATATAAATAAATATATCTTATTTCCTATCTTACTGACTAACAACACTCGTCTTATTTCCTGTCCTATTGTATTTTATTGATAACACTAATATTATTTCCGAATGCACTTTATCTTCCATAGTAAATTGACTAACAACACTCGTCTTAATTCTCATCATATTATATTTATTGATAACGCTAATAGTGGCTGCGAATGTACTTTATCTTACATTGATTTTATTCATATGTCTAATCAATTTTTACTCATGTACATAGTAAACGAAGCAAGGAAGTTATGTGAGTATTGCCTTGATATGATTATGAACAGTAATAAATTGTGCTCGAAACTTGGTCATCAGTAAATAATATTACTGTATAACACTGTGTGATTTTATCAGAATAAAATTTTATCCATAATGGGATTTTTTAGGACACAGTCAAACACATATGTAATGGGAAAAAAATAGTTCTAACCTTTTAATCTGAGCTTTATAATTTATGTGGTTATGAAGTCTGTTTTCAGTGATATACTCAACAACAACAAAAATGCACTTGTTGAAAGAGTCGTAAGCTGCTGCTGCTGGATTCAACATAGAACTTGGCACCGAAGTGCAGCAGTTCTAGTTGCCGCGTTCCAAATAGCACACAAAGGTAGACAGGAAAATGAGCGATGAAGAGAATCAATAGAGTTTTGACAAGTATAAGAGTGAAACAGAATGAGTAATGGTAGAAAGGAGTATGAAGGTTAAAGAGACTGAATACATCTGCGCCATTGACAACGATTTTGAGCCATGTCACCTATTGTCTCCAGCCATTGATTCTTAGAGTCCCGAGGGCGGGCCCTAACCCGGAAGTCTGCATCTCCTTCCCTACCTGACTCAGTTTAACTGTTACGGATTTCATGGATTGATGCCATGTTTTTGTTTGACCACCACTTACTCTTTTCCAACCTGCACCTATATCAGTCGTAAGCGGAAAATGTTAGCGAGGTTAATCGCAATGAACTTATGTACTGACTGCAACTGCAAAATTCCTGAAAATATCCTCGTAATCTTTGACTATCTGTTATGTTAGCTGTTCACATTTTCATGTTTAAACTCATAATTGCCCTTTCTTTTTCTATTGTTCGATTTGAAGGGAAGTAAATTTCACGGTCTGACCAGTGAGTAATGTTTGTGAGCAAGATATCGACAAAAGTATTTATAAATTTATTATTATTATTGTTCCCTTGGGTTCCGAGTGGAACATAGGGCTTCAACAACACATCTTCACTTTTGCAATTAATAGTGTTCTCTGAGCTGGTTGGTTTGGTTGCGAAGCTTTCGTCGTCCTTCTGGACAACATCTTCAGCGCCATATTTAGCACAAAGTGAAATGATTTAAATTTCTTCATGAGTGATATAATTGCGTCTCCTGGTAACTATCTTTACATATGTATTGATCATTTTCTGTTGACTTGGATTTCAAACTTTCTGGTCACCTGATTTACTTTTTATTAGTTGGTATATTTCGTCTATATTAACGTGTTTGTTAATTGCATTTTCGTTTGAGTACCAGGCTTCTAGGAATTCCCTGGCACTTTTAGTGTTTCCTCTGTCTAAGATTTTGACATTATCCCAATCAAATTGATGACCATAATTGTCTATATGCATTGATATTAAAGATTACATATCGTGTCTTTTCACCGATGATTTATGTTCTTGAATTCTAATTCGAAGGGGACGCCCACTTTGGCCGATGTAATGCTTGTTGCAGTTCATACAATTTATTTTGTAAATGGTATTAATTTTATCCCCATTTCTGTTGGATCTTTCGGTTTGCATAATATCGAATTAAGCGATTTGACTGGCTTGTGTGCTGTATCTATATCAAACGGTTTCAGTATTCTAGCTGTTATTTCAGAGATATTTCTCATGTATAGTAGAATGAATTTTCTTGTGGTCTTTGATGATGGTTTCCTAGATGCCTGGTACTCAAACGAAAGTGCAATTAACAAACACGTTAATATAGACGAAACATACCAACTAATAAAAAGTAAATCAGGTGACCAGAAGGTTTAAAATCCAAGTCAATAGAAAATGGTCAATACATATGTAAAGATAGTTACCAGGAGACGCAATTATATCACTCATGAAGAAATTTAAATCATTTCACTTTGTGCTAAATATGGCGCTGAAGATGTTGTCCAGAAGGACGACGAAAGCTTCGCAACCAAACCAACCAGCTCAGAGAACACTATTAATTGCAAATCATCCACCTGAGCTACAAATCTTCTCTCTTCACTTTGTTCTATTTTCTGGCATCCTCTTAAGCTGGGTCCTATTTATAATTAGATTCTAAATTTGCCACTTATACAATTCAAGGTGAGATTTAATCAAAGTCTTCGATGGAAACCAAAATTATTCCGATCACAATCTGTAAATTGTTTAATACTATAAATGGTTATCAAGATACTAAGCATAAATGCATGAAACTATGTACTGCTGATTGCTTAAGATGAGTAGTATCTATAGCCACTGGATGTTCAAATGGTAATGCCCGTACGTTAATTAAAACAACAGAAAGAGAAACGTAATTTAAAACCGGTAAAAATGGTATTTTAGAAACCGAACTTTCAAATTTGTACACATCTTATTTGTTTTCCAGCACTTGAACACTATTCACTGACTGAATTTACGTCAGGACAAATTTCTCTGCATATAATTACTTATGTCTGTATGTAAATATCAGTTCAAGTGAAAACAAATATCAGTGTGTTTCATTTGAGAGTGGAATTTATAAAAGTAATTGGGATGCAGCTTAGCTTAATTATCATTGGTAGTTCTTTCAACCAATCACAACCGAGAAACTGCCATTCATATATACATATAAACAGTATGTAGTTTGTTCATTAAACAAACAATTTTGCCATATTTGTACTTATTTACACAGTACAATTCTTGGAACATATCTACATTCTCTATTATGACTACAGGAAATACTCGTCGTGTCCTTCTACCTATCGATGGCAGTGAACACAGTAAACGTGCAGTAAACTGGTACTTGAAAGAGTTTAGTCGACCGAATGATTTCGCCTATTTTTTCCATGCAGTTGAACCGCATTATTCAAAATCGTCTTCCGCTGATACTCACGATGTTCATAAAGAGTTAGCCACCAGTGTGGATAAAAACATAAAAAATTATGCAGAACTTGGAAAAATACTTGGTGAACAGTTATATGAAGATTTACAGAAGAGTCAAATTCAACTGGAGTATATCATGCAGATTGGAACAAAACCTGGTGAATTAATAGTCAGTGCAGCTAAAGAAAAATCTGTCGATGTTATACTGATTGGTAATCGTGGCTTGGGTGCATTGAGACGTACATTTCTAGGCTCTGTTAGTGAGTATGTCTTGCATCATTGTAATATACCGTTTATTGTTGTTCCACCTCCTGTGAGTTAACCAGTAATGAATAAGAACTAGTGGGATCACTTGTGTTTATTTGTTTCTTTTACAATTCTATGCTTTTTGGTTTACATTCCATTAAAAAGTTTTTGATAAATGTCAGTGTATATGACTTTGTGAAAGACTATTAATATTGCCAATGACTTTATTTTAATTGGAAGCTGTTATTCCAGCGAAGAATGTTAAACTGTCTGCTTCTAACTTATTTCTAATCTTATTATTCAACTCATCAGATGAACTATATGAACGAGATCATATAACGAATGACCTAAGTGAAACTGGAATTCTGTTTTGTATTGCTGGTCTTTTCTCTATGTATGCGCTGATAAGTTTCAGTTATTAATTGATATTACAAAAAAATAATAATTCACTTACATTTGATTGTGTTAAAAATTTTATATGCCACAATATTTGAAAAGCTGGATAGTGCTAAACACCTATGAAGCAGGCAGTGTCTATCCTGAAGAACACCAGCTGGGAATAAAGGACAGCAATCTAGCTGAAGACAGCTGATTACTTTAAGCTTAGTTGATAATGCTGCTATACAATTTAAATTACTGTAAAATATGCGTAAAAACTTACTGAGACTATCGGATCATCCTCAGAGACTATTTCGTTGAGGAATATATGGAAGTGTATCCGTTGGGCTAGATATTTAAGTGTTCTAAAGCTCGGTATTTTCAGCCTCAGTTAAATTCGTGATAACCAAACATTCTTCAGAATATCTAAGATGGTTTTAATACAGCAGACTGGACTTAATGTAATAAGGCTAGAATTAGAATTAAGACTGAGTTCATAAGCTGCAATAGTACTCAAATCAGACGTTGCCTAATTATCAACCCCAGTGGGTTTTTTTTGTATTGACTTCAACTTATGGTTTTGTGATTAATCGTGGAAGAACAGATATCCTAAGTTAACTATCATCATGTATGTCTAAATTTATTTCAGATTATTTAACAAGCAGTCAGTATATGTCGTAAGCCTCATATTTCTTAAAATCAAAGTGGGCTAATGATTAGGATTATTTTTTTGCTTCACCTTATATTAAATCGATAGTATTCTTATTCAAATTGGTGTAAATGACCTCCTCGATATTTTATTACTAATCTGTTCAGTCACGCCTTTTCTAAGCATAAATGTCTTAATGATTAAACACCTCTAAGTTTAGAAGTTAAGTAGAAATATTTACGTAACCAATCGATAAAGTTCAACTCTGTTGTGCTTCTTTTGGTCAAAAAAAGCTCATAAAATGATCGTTTTGAAATTCGATTTGTGAAAATCAGTTAGTTTAAAAACGGCACTGTAGGAAATATAACTGGCGTTGTAACAGCACATTGCAAGTAGATTGCACTACTCACATTTGATCGTAAATGTGATATAGGTGAAAAAAAATATGATTTTGCCTCATAGTGTATAGTGCTGCAGAGTTCCCCATGGTGGGTGTTTTCTTCACACTCTGAAATACTCATTGTGTGTTCTAGAAACGTTTTTTTTTGCACAAACGCATACATACACACAAACACTAAGATATGAAGAATTCGACAACTTCTGCTCACCTAGCCGTCTGTGTTGTGTTCCGTATACGCTCTTGAAAATGTTATATGATGATTCTTCACTGAACCCGATGACCAATGTTATATTTATTTATATTTTTCTACTGATTTCATTCAACAAAAATTAATTAGTTGGAGGATTTCATTATGAGTTGACATCAGTTAGAGAACCATTGGGAAACCTGGGAGTACTGGACAGCTGTTTCGTCCTAGTCCGGGACCCTTCACCAGTACGCGCCCATGACCTGGGTCCGAACCCTGGTGAAGAGTCCGAAACTAGTACGAAACAGATGTCCAGTACTCCCAGGTTTTCTAATGGTTCTCTAACTGATGTCAACTCATGATTAAATCCTCCAACCAATCAAACAAAATTCCCCACAAAACCAATACTTGAAAAAATTATTTAGTTTTCGTTTTCTCCTATTTACTCAATGCTATCCGACTGATTTGACCACCTTTTGCTAGTAATCCGTTAACTGCCAATTTCCATAATTCCCTCACCTATCAGTGTAGCTTATTTCTACCCATTCCTGACAATAATAACAACGGTTGACTGATCACAATACATTTTCACAGAAATCAATAAGGAAGGGAAGAAGAAGAAGAAGAATGAGAGTCCAAAGTGAACAACCATCGACAACAATCGATAGCTTGAAGTGAATTTAGGCAATCTGTTATGATCCTGTGATCGCTTCCATCACTGAATGACAATGTCCTTTTTTAGCTGAAGTCTTGTGAATACAAGGCACACATACACACACAAAAAAATAGGAAAAGCTTAAGCTATTTAAAACAGATTGTACACACATACTTCATTTGCATAGGATCAAAACACCAAGATTCAAAAATGACAGTGAGGTTTATTCAAAAGGAGTGTGAAATTTAGTCATTTCTGGTTGTTTCTCACCAGCTGATTTTTCTTCTCATGTCTGATTTCACTTACGAATACGAAAACAAAATAAATTATTCAGTGATTTTTCCAGAAATTTCTGAATACGTGTGTACGCTAATTGTATACAAAATTGGTTCATTTTTTACTAACTGCAAATATGAATTTAGGCTTCACTAGCCTTCGTTGAACCAGAGAGTAGATTGATCGGTTAGTTGTTAAGCTCATAGTTCGCAATCAGATTTCGCTGTAAAAATCCAAAATTTAATCTGAATGTAGGTTTGAAACCGAAAGTCTGAACACTGATCACCAGTTGACCAGTGACTACTGAATGAATGATCCTGAAGTACCAATGAGAAGTTGTACCGGTCGGCAGATTGATTGATTAATTGCACCGGTCGGCAGGAGAGCTAGATAGCCAAATGATAGATGCTACAATTTACAGATGACTGCATACCAGACTGATGACGGGCTCACCTCGTCACCTGCAGGTGCTGGGTTCACTTCACTGTTCAAGAATCCTAAGCATGGAGGAGACGACTGTTCACTACTCCGCGGTTTTCAGTGGTTCTATTAATCAATGTTAGTTCACTATCCAATTTAAAACAAATGACTGTTTGTTTTTCGATGATGCATCATCACGCAATGTATTCATATTCAGTATTCTGAACAGGAACGAACGTCTTGAATAACAATTCACTAGGCTTTAAATCAGGCTTAAGATGGAGTGGAACACCTGTCTGAATGATATTTGTGTCATAATGTTTTGTGTATTCAGTATTAAGACATACTAATGTGTAACACTCATCACAGTTTGTGTGTGACCTAGTCAATAAATCAATTGATTTTTATTTTTCACTAAAACAGTTGTTATTGTCTGACACTTGAATTATATTGGAATGAGTCAGATATGGTAAATGTATAGCTTATTATTATTGTTATTCATCTTGAAATGTGCTAAGCTTGATGCCTTAATTAAATAGTCGAATGCCTAGTAAGGCTGTATGTTATTTGGAGTGAATTAATCCATATGTGGCAACACACACTCTCAACTATCATATAACGTATGAAGCAATTAAGCTTAAGCTTTGAAATGACCAGTTAGCCTGGAAAATTTACATTATCAAGTAAAAAGGTCATATAAACAATTACATTTCGATTAGATTTCTTTCTGATTAAATGTTAGCTAGTTAGTTAGTTAGTTAGTCTGTAACTGTGTCACTGTAAAATGTCCTGTTGTATTCATCTATAATAAAATCGAACTAATCGAATATTAGGAGTGAATTAATAATCATGGGATATTTTTGCAATGCGGTGAATCTATCCTGTGAGAAATGATTAGTAAGATATTTGGTTAGTATTATTGGGTGTACCAAGCCAGGACTAGTTTATAGAGTATTCAATGATCACTAGTACCACTTATTCCTTACGTCCTGGGTGGAAGCTCTAGAGGGACATCTCCATCCCACTGTGTTCTCTCACATCACTTTCAAATGGCTTCACGACTCTCCAAAAGCTTTCATATCTTCCCACTCAGGTTCCACCACTCCATGATTGGCAGATGATGTCCCCTGAATGTATCTCAAATCTATCTCCATTTCCTCCTGCATATTTGTTCATCAGGAAACAAGCTGCTGGCAGATTTACCATCTGTCAGAATTTCTCCTTACTTGTGCTTTACGGCCGGCTATTTGATCTTCAGTAGCGAGTGAAGGCGGTAGGTGTTGATGAAAGTCTTCAGTTGACTGTTGGAAATGCTTTCGGTGATGTGAGCACTACGTTTTTGGGACACGGAGAATCACTGACTTGACATTTTGTCGCTTGCACTGAGTTCTGAAGATATGCACACTAATTTCAGAGTAATAAGGGAATTTCGTGCTTTTCTGATTCTAGTTGTTTATGACACAGTCATTCGTACGGCTTGTAGGGGAAATAATGCTGTAGAGATAATTGAAAGCGATGGCTGCCTTTAGATCTCTTGGCTTGATGGGGATTGGTGTTTTCTGCTGCTAATTAGGTATCCCTATCGCCTGGAGTCAAGTCACCATCGCCAACTTGTAAATCGTCGAGTTTGTGAGACATGAGACATTAGTCGCCTACGAAATCCACATCTCCTAGGGTTTTCTCAACAGACCAACATAGTTCTCGACTTCAATGAAGCTTACTTTAATTCAGCAATGTGAGTGTTGACAGTGGTGTACCAGTTCTGCTGTCAACCGCATCTATAATTATCGTAAAGCATTGAGATTATCAAAGTACAGGCTTAGATGTTAATAATAATATAATAATATTTCTGCAGTTATCAAAATAAAAGTTGCAAGTTATGTAGTAAATATTCTGAGTTATCTGAAACGTGTAATGTATTGGTGCAACACATTTCGGACATTCTGATCACACACGTACTTGTCATACACAGTTTTTATATAATGCAAGAAGGCATGAATAATTACAATACAGGTCAGATTGTATACAGGTCAAGGTCACAAATAATGGGTAGGGAGACACAAAAGGTGTGGGTAAGAAAGATAAAAGGAGAAAAAACAAGGCAAAGAAGGGGTTGAAAATATTAAGAAGTAAATTGGTCCTTGGTTCTAAATTGGATTACCAAGGCAGGTTTAAAGTGATAACAAATAATTTTTGGACACATAAGACAGGTTTAAGTCTGACCTATATTGTAATTATTCATGCCTTCTTGCATTATATAAAAACTGTGTATGACAAGTACGTGTGTGATCAGAATGTTCGAAATGTGCTGCGCCAATACATTACACGTTTCAGATAAACTACGTCTTCTTATTGTGTTGTCGAAATTCATAAAGGGAACTAATTGCTTTAAATTCTGAGTTATGGAAACGACCAGCTTCATTTTGGCTTGCTTCATTGTACATTTTCACTGAAAATGTTTGC